CTCGCCCGGCCATTAATCACCACCGTGCGGAGCCGACTGACGGGAAAGGCGACAGGGCCAGCGGGCGACTGCCAGCCCGCCTTTCCCTCTGCCGGGCCCTGCTGCAGGTCATCCGCATCATCCCCAGGTCACTTGCAACCTGGGATGGGAGGACATTGTGTATCTCTCAGGGTCCCAAGGGAGAGCTGGCTTGTCTGGCTGAGACTAGGCCACACCATAGCTCCCTTCTAGGGGCTGAAAGGCCCGTTTCTAGAAACTGGAGACCAACGAGGACTGCGTCCAAATGCGGAGGGCCGGACCTAAGCTTGTGCCTGTTTCACAAACTCTGACCTCCTCTAGCAACAAGAGCCAAGAACTGGGCATTCTTCTCTGAACCCTGGTGCCTATGGCCTCAGGGAGTCTCACACTTCAGCTTGGCTTCGGCTCCTCCCTCAAAGGCAGGGCCTTTTCAGACGTGGCCAGCTGCCCAATCAGGGCAGGTTCAGGGTCAGGGAGATAGAGGTCTACAGGGTGTTAACTCTCACCCTCTGCCTGTAACTCCATTTTAACTAAGGCTTGATGATCCACCACTTTTTGGTGTGAGGAAGCAAGTTCTGTTCCGTCTTAAAACCCGAATATTCCCTGAATCAACGGAGGGTTGGAGGCAACCTGAAGAGGTGAGGTGTCTGCAAAAGCTAAGGACAAGGATTTGCCTGGAGGCTGCTGGGGAGCCTGCACTGCAGCTAAATGAGGAGCAGAGGTTTCTACTCAGCCACCAAGTAGCTCAAGGGGAGGCTTCCAAGAGCCTGGCCCAGAGCTGGGATAGTGGCCACCTCCTGTGACCAGCCCCCATCCTGCCTGACTTTAATATTACAACAATTTTTCAAGCTGGAGCTGAACTAGTGGGAAAAATGGGGCTGCTGTAATTGTTGTTAGATTGTGTGTCAGCCTGATAAGATGTAACAAATACTTTCTTCCCACCAGGGTCTGCTGCCTGCCTGGGAATGGATGGAGAAACTTCTCACAGTCTGCGAGGGATGGGCCATAAAAACTTCGCCTGTAAGATTAATGTAATAATCACAGGCCTTGCTGGGGAAAAGGGAAGAAAATTAAAATAACCAAACCTTGCCACCTAGCCAGACCATCTCCCTCCTATCAGAGCACTGTCCCCTCTCCTCAGGCACTGTCACAGCCCAGATGAAGGAGAAGTGGCAGGATTCAGGGGCTAGAAAGAACAAGCTGGCATCCCTAATCCTCACTGTGCCAAAGGCTGTACAAGAACACCCCCCAACCCACCACTGTTGCCACCGCTCCTCTCCTCATCAGCTGCTGTGAAGGGTTAGACTGAGCAGTCACCTACCTCAGTTTACCCTGCAGCCCCACCTGCTCAAGGTCAGACCCTCAGCTACTGCTGGGTATGAAGTCCAAACACACAGTTCCCAGCTTCAGCTCGAGCCCGGTTGACTTCAAATACAGCTTCTGTCTGTGGCTATCTGGGCAGGTGATTGGCATAAACACCATGTCCTCATGAGTACAAAATGATGTCATACTGAAAAAGGTGACACTTATAATTCCAGCACTTAGGAAGCAGAGGCAGGAGGATTGCCTCAAACTCAAAACCAGCCTTGTTTACATAGCAAGACTATCTCAAGACAAGGTACCCAATGTACAAACTAAGCACCTATGAGTCCACACTGATGGTTTACTAAACAGGTAAGCGGTGAGACTGTCCTCATGCAGACTCCCAAACCATGGCTAACACGCAGCCCTAGAAGAGGCACAGCTGTTCTAACCCTTATGTGTGGTCAGCAGAGAGCCACTTCACTCAAGAGCCCAGCATAGAACAGGGGACATAAACAAGGTCCCAGACATGGCAGCCTTGGCCAGGTGCTTAGGGCTCACAGTATAAGTGTCCTACTGAAAGTACCTGCCAAGATGGGCTGTAGACTTGTGTGGCTCTCAATGCCCAACGGTCATCAGAACAGAGATGTCTGGGAATCTCATAGCCTAGAGCCTGAAAGGAAGATGAGATGTAACATCCCGACACAGCTCTCAACGCTCACTGACAAATGTCCTGCCCTACTGCAGAATGGAACTGCACTGATGCCACAGTAACTATAAGTCTAAACTGGTCCTGCAATTTCTGTGTATGTGTTATGCATAAATAACCTTGTTTTGTGCTGCAAATAGAACTTAGAACCCCCCATAGTAACTCTAGCTCCAGGGGCTCTGATGCCTTCTTTTGCCAGTCCCAGGCACCTGCAAGTTTGTGTGCGTGTACACACACACACACACACACACACACACACACACACACCGCGAGCATGGAGTACAAACATAAAAACCTAAAAAGAGAGGTATCATCAAAATAACCTATTCAGTTTTATTAGAAAACAAGCCAGGTGGGAAGGGGTTCCTTCCAAGCAGACATGGAGGTTTGATAATTTAGAAAGAATGTTCCCAGAGTCAGCAACACTGCAAAGCACGCTTGACTCAAGGCCCTGTCCACGGTGTGGGGTCTGTCCTCTGGGTGCACCTCCCAGCCCAATGTTACTTCATGTACTTGTCCTGCTGGTCAGCCAGAATCTTGGCAGAGGACTTGGCATCATAGAAGAGTTCGCTGATCTCTTCCACATGCTCCTTCTCAATGCTGTCCTTCCCGTTGATCTTTGCCAGCAGGTTGGCTGGGGTCAGCAGCTGCACAGAATACCTACAGCAGACAGCACAGCGTGAGCATGGGGCCACTGCAGGGAGCCCAAAGTCAGAAGGCGAGCATGGACACTGCTGGCATGGCTGCAGCCATCTAACTGCAAGGAGCCCAAGGTGAGGACGGCAAAGGAGAACTGCCACTGCCCATCACAACTGAGACCGGGGACACCAGGGGACAGGGGACACAAGGCTCTTCTCACATCTGCAAAGGGGGTGACTTCATCTCTGCTGACAGACTAACATTTTGATACACACACACCCTGGCAGGGCAGACAGTATCAACTTAGACGGGGAATTTTCACATGCAAAGAAATGAACACAGGCAACTGAAAGCTCATGCAGGCCCAATGAACATTCACTAAACATGTGACAGTTTCTTCCTTTACTTCAGGAACAAGAGCAACATACTCAAGGGACACAAGGAGGGCTCAGGGTCTGAAGACCTATCGTCTATCTTCTCCAGTCACTGCCTTTGAACCCTGGCAGAACAGCCTGGAGAACACAGCACTAATCCACTAGGCTGCTGCCACCAGATACCTGGAATACACCCAGGGTAAGGGTGATGGGGACAGGCCCTGCTCTACTGGGAAACTGGAAGAGAATGGTGAACTCTACTAGGGGCTTGCTGAAGACTGGGTTCTAACTCATTTCTAGATTCTTAGCACTCTAAACTTAATGCCTGGAAAAGGCCCTTGGCACAGCATAAGGGCTCCAGCAGGCTGCTACCTGGTGTACACACCTCAGTGTGGTCTTGGTGCCAATCTCCCCCAGGTGGTTAAGCGCCTCCTCGCTGATGTTGATGCCTTCCGTCTGGGCTCGGATCTTAATGATCTTTGGAGAAAAAAAAAACAATCGTTAAGTGTCTCAACTGTGTTCAGTGTCTGACCAGCTGATGGCCACCAGCACTGCTAGTCTGCATCTCTGGGAATCACACGCCCCAGCCACAGTCCACCTGGATGACATCATAGCCAGGGGTACCCCCATGTCCAGTGTAGCTCACAGCTTCCTCTTCCTTTTCCCTGTTACAGAGAGCTAGGTCCACTCCTAGCTTTGCCCTCAAGGCTCCAACATCTCCTGGCAGCTTGAGCACTATCACCTAGCAGCACTCAAGCAAGAGAACATTTTTTTATTTGTTTGATAAATACTATGGTTAAATAAATCAAAAAAGTTACTTTTAGAGATTTACCAGCCCTCCTAACATCGCTGAGATATCTAATCTATCAAGCGCCTAATGCTTGTTGCACTGTGTATCCTGGTGAGGCTGGAGGGGTGGCCGGCAGGCGGTGAGATGCTGCAGCGGTGGCACAGGGTCCCACGGGCACTGCAGCACTGAGTGATAAGGGCCAGCAGGATAATGATGTTGTGTGTTGTGGGGCCGAGATAACTCGAGGACTTCGAGCCTCATATAATACAGGAATTTTTCACTCTGGCAGCTTCGTAAACAAGATATCAAGAAGCCGTTGTTTAAATTAAAGCCGTAAAAACAGCCAGAGCAGAGGCACAGGAACTGGAAGACACTGAGTCCTAGTTCCAGGCTCTGGAGAGAGAAAAGAAGAGTGGAGGCTTGAGATGGCTGAGTGTGACAACTCAGGGCTCTGCCGGGGTCAGCAGTCATCAGCTGCCTGTCACTGTAAGCAGCCTGTAAGGAGCTCAGAGCAGCAGGCTGGCATGCATTCCTAAGAGGTGGCCACTTCGCAGACCCCCACTGCCTATGCCACCTTTATCCAGACAAGGTTGTAAGAGAAGAATTGGGGGAACTCTTGACTGGTTCACACATGTCCCAAACACTACAGAGGCCTCAAACATATGTGCGGTGCTCCTCAGGGGTCAGGATATGATCATCTACACAGGCTATTAGGTCCAACAGCAGAGGGGCCCAAGGTTCAAGGGCTGTGGAAAGCAAGCTAGAAAGGATGTCCCCTGCTCTACTCCATCAGCCAGCTACATGACTCAAGAACTCCTGACCAACAGCTGGACAAGGGAGACTGTGGGCCAATAGCACAAATGGCTGCTCAGGAGTCTTCTGGAACTTCAAGAGGGACTGGGGATTAGGTACATCAGAGGCAGGGCATGTTCTCAGCATGTATAGGGACCTAGGTCATATCCCCAGCACTGCCAACTCCCGAGAGATATAAACACTGAAGACCAGAGGCTGGCCGAGGGGAGGGCTGAGGATGCTCAGTGATGCTGGGCTGGTGATGCTAGGCTGGCCCTCCCCTCAGCTGGATCTGTGGCTTGGCTTCCTTCCACAATGCCAGTGATATCTGCTCTCACTGTCTCTAGAACAGACCAGAGCAATCATGGGAGCTTCTACCTCAGCTGCTTGGAAACAGGCAGCTCATGAATGAGATCTTTAATCATTTAATAACCTGCAGGGGTGTTTATGAGGTGTCAGTACTAGTGGCATTTTGTACATGTTAAGTTGAGCTTGTCTGTGTAAAACCTGCCTTAACTCCAGCAAAAGGCTGAGGGGATCCCTGAAGCTGCAAGGCCAAAGCAAGACCCAGACAGGTAGCCACTGAGAGAAGCCCAGAGACTGGCCTGAGCAGGCCTGTCAGTCACAGCTCCAGTATGAGAGGAGACTCCAGAGCAGTTTCGCCTGGAGCTCCAAGGTGAGCTACTCTGGTGGGGATCCCAGCTCCACGACTTAGTTATCAAAGCCTCTGTCAAAGACCCTAGAGGCTGACTATGAAGCAGCTGGGGATAATGGCGCCCTGTTCCTACCCGTCTCACAGAATGCATGTGACAGTTTTACAAAGCAAGGAGAGACAGTCTTTGTCACCATCTCAGTGGAATCTGAGTGACAATGTCTCAAAACCAAAGGTAGGTTTATCTTTTACCATTTACCAGAGAAGGTATTTTTCTAGTTTGTGATAAAACACTGACCAAAACAATTTGGGGAGGAAAGGTCTACCACGTCTCACAGCTTAACAGATCATCAGGGAAGTCAGGGTGATCTCAAGTGGAACTGAAGCAGAGACCTGAGGAGCACTGCTTGCTGAGTGAGTGGCTCCTGGGCTCTGTTTAGCTAGTTTCTTATGTATCCCAGGTCCACCTAGAAATGCCTAGGTAATGACTATTTCAAGACGCAGCTTCTGTGGCAGGTGATGAGATACAAAGCCACCAGACTTCAACAAACCCACAGGGAGTTTACTGGGAAAGGGAGCAAAGGGAGGGCTATGTGTTGGCCAACCAGGAACAGAGATGGAAGGAGGAAGGGAAGAGAAAAGAGCTAAAGAGACAGAGAGACAGAGACAGAGACAGAGATAGAGAGGACAGGAGAGAAGAGGGAGACAGGAAAAGTCCGGTCTGCCCTAGGGGAACAGCAGGAAAGAAGGAGAGCGGGAGAGTGGAAAGGGAGGAGCGGGAAAGAGATGAGCAGGCAGAAAAACCACTAAGTGGGCAGGGTCTTTCTCTTAAAGGGTCCTTTGCACCTTCATGGTACAGGGACCAGGGGGAGGAAATCAAGCCACTGGGGACATGCCTTTTAAGAAGGAACTGGGATCCCAAGCCTCTCCTATCTCCCCCCCCCCCC